TCTGTCCCTCTCTCACGCGCGCGCACGTCTCGCGCGCACGCTTATTTTTTGGACCGTGGATCAGATAGTACACTTGATCCTTAGGAGGGGGGCCGGCTGGCGCATAGGTAGTTAGACTGGGGGCTCTCGCTCTCTCTCTAGTCTCGCTCCCGCATCTTGAGCGCGCTTGTTTTTTTTTTCCTTTTTAACCGTCTCGATGAACCACGCATCTGGTCGAAGCAGATAGTGCACTTGCTCCTGGGGGGGGAGCTCCCAACTCCATACCACCTCCCTTTCCCTGCTCCGTACCACCTCCCTCTCCCTGTAAAAACTCAAAACGAGCGCGCACAATCGAGAGAGAGAGAGCGAGAGAGGTTGGGAGGGGGATTGCCTAAATCTCTCCTCCCAACCTCTCTCTCTCTTCTATTGTAGCAGCTCCAATCTCCCTTCTCCCTTCCTAGAACCTCCGCCATACCCTCCGGTCTTCACACGAACAGAATGGCACGGGCATTCGCTGTGTACCTAGACTGAAACTTGCTATGAATACAGATACGAAACCAGTCTAACTACCGTCTTAACCCTAATAGAGCATCCGATCATTTCTCGCTGCATCTGGACTGCAAGTTGCCGCAAATCCACCTATAGCGATCGCGAGTGCGTTCTATTCGGTGGAGCACGGTAGGCATTGCCACGGAGAAAAGAACAGGACACTGGAGGGCTGGAGAGGGAGATTTTTTTTTTTTTTTTTTTGGGAGAGATTCACTAACAGTCTCCTGACAGTGGTGACACCACCTCCCTCTCCCTTCCCTCTTCCCCCCCCCACCCCCACCCCCACCCCCCCTTGGGCCCTCCCTTCCCTCTAGCTTTACTTCGACGCAGGCGACTGATTCCTCAAAGAAACTTCTGAGAGAAATCGGTCAACTCGCCACTCCCCTAATTAATCCCCTGCGCCGCATTCATCAGCACTTCTCCACCCATCTAAAGGCCTCGCTCTTTCCGACTCAACATTCGACGTGTACAAGGACCGCGAGATGGACCAGATCCATTCAGACTCGTCGAACATTTTGAATGTACCTGGACAAATCAGCTCCAGATACATTTCGATTGTTGTGCAGTGGAGCTAGGCCCTATTACTCGACGAGGTCACCGCTCTCTCTCTCTCTCTCTCTCTCTCTCTCTCTCTCTCTCTCTCTCTCTCTCTCTCTCTCTCTCTCTCTCTCTCTCGCACGCGCGCGCGCGTCGGAGCCCCTGCTTCTGCGCTGCCTGGAAGTTGAGAAGAGTGAAGCGTCCGGATGTATATATTGTCACAAAATATCAGAGCGCAAATGCGAAAAAAAGGAAAGAAGGAAAGAAAAAAAAGAGAAAAGAAAAGTGAATTCATTTTTTTATCTTCTTCCTTCTCCCCCTGTTCAGAACCTCTTGCGTACAAGGCCGCCCACGTGGATGTAGGTTGAGCGGCGGCTGCCCCCACCCCCGTGTGTCATATCGACCCACTTGCACACAGCCAAAAGGCAAAGAGGCAAAGAAAAGAGGAAGGGAACAGCCAAATACAACAAAACAGGGGGAAGCAAACATAAACCAATCCTAGATGACAAGTCCCACATGCAAGCACCGCCCCTACGACCAGGGCCAAACAATGGGACAAGACCAACCAGGATTCAGGAACACCCTTGCCTGCAAACAAACAATCCCAGATAACATACCTTTCGCGCGCGCCAGCTCCAAGAATCCTTTGCGATTGATTATATTGTTGTTGTTGCAAAAATTGGTACAGATTCAAACTGTCAAGCCACCGCTTCGCTGGTCTAAACTAAATTACTGGGACAGCACCAACAGCAAAAAAACATAAAGGACA